GTCTCAGGTAATCCGATGGCATATTGAATATTTCTAAGGGCGATTTTTAACCACGTTAATTCCCCCGCCAACAAAATTCACCCTTCTTTCAAATTCCCGTTGAGAATCCTCTTATTTTTATGCAGGCCCACAGTTTCTTCTAGGTGTATAAAAAATCGATTATGCGATGCTGATATTTAAAAGCACACCGCCTTACATTTTAGCACCTTCCCTTGAATAGTTTTTTTTTTTATAAAAAAATATTATATTTAAAGGACACAGAGCAGGCATCAAACGAACTCCTGTTTGAAATAGAGGCACTTCCAAAGATACTTTGGCAATTCACCTCCGATTCTGGATGATGGGGGTTTTTTTCCCCCTTGTGTTACTGCAAAAAACGGGTTAGGGTGGCATTTTACCTCCCCTTCCGTTGAAAGGAAAGGAGGCACCCTTTGGCCGGGCATGATGAGAAATAGGGCATCCAAGGCAGTAGTGAAATCCAATTTTTTTTTACTACCGGTTCGGTGGGCGTGGCATGACTTGGTGGGCGTGGCAGGGGAAGGATACTACAAAATCCCCATTCCCTCCCCACACCAGGGGGAAGGATATTGCAAAATCCCCATTCCCTCCCCACTCTGGGACCAGCCAGAGGTGGTATTTGCCGGTTCTCCGAACTACTCAAAATATCCGCTACCGGTTCTCCAGAACCTGTCAGAACCTGCTGGATTTCACTTCTAGTCCAAAGGAATTTGCCAATTGGGCAAGAGAGTGGACAGACCAGTTTAAAGTGCTGGGTAAACCCATACATCCTGCAAAGGGGCAGGGGTGGACTAAATGACCTCTGGGAGGCCCCTAAACCAGCAGAGTGTGTAGTCAGGACTTTTTCCAGCCCACTTATCTGATCAGGGTGGGCAATCCCTTCCATTTGATTTAGAGTCTTTTTTTTTGTGGGTGCACATCTCTAGGCAACGTGCCTAAATTCTCACTCGGAATTAGGATGGTGAAAGAGGAGAGGAGGGGGAAGGAAATCTCCGTCTGTGCCAAGGCTGTTCACCCCCTCCTCTTTTTGCCTCTAGGAGTGTGTGTGTGGGGGGGGGTCTTGAAAGCAGGGAAACCGGGTGGGTGTTTTGGTGCCAAAGTAAAACAAAAAACAACAACAACTAAGTGTTAATTCCCAAACTCATAAACCCTAATTTCAGATTGCGGTCTCCGTTTGTTTTTCCCTGGTTATTTATTTGCAATAATTGTTTATTTTTATTTTTATTTTCCTTAGAACACTGGCCCTAATTGAAACTTTTGTCGTTTTTTTCACATTGTTGGTTAGAGAGAGAGAGAGAGAGAGAAAGAGAGAGAAAGAGAAAAAGGAAAGAGAAAGAGAAAGAAAGCGAGAGAAAGAGAGAGAGAGAAAGGGAAAGAGAGAGAAAGAGAATGAGAGAGAGAGAAAGAGAGAGAAAGAAAGAGTGAAAGAGAGAAAGAGAGTAAGAAAGAGAGAGAAAAGAAAAAAGAGAGAGAAAGAGATAGCAAGACAGAGAGAAAAAGAGACAGAAAGAGAGGAAATGGACCACCCATTGCCGAATTCTCTGCAAACTTTGCAGTCTCCTTCCCAAGGTACCCAACTTCTGTAAAACTTCTGGCCCAACGTTGGCCTCCGACAACGAACCGTCCCAAAGTCCACATAAATTTCGTATCTTGAATCCAAAAAAAATGGTCCGTCCCAAATTTTATTACGATTGGCACCGTCGAGGCGTCTTAGCAAGTCGGCTGAAGTACCTTGCCAAGCGGTGTCGCTTTCGGCCTTGCTAAAATTTGATGCTGTACTTTCTTCCCAGGTGTTCCCGAGGATGAAAGGGGAAAAAAAAGAGACTTCCAAAACCACGTTTCATTTTTCTTTCCTTTTTTTTTTAATGTATAACAGTTATGCCTGAGTTACATAGAAGGATACCACAGGCCGCAGAGGGTTAAAGCAATACGAATTTTTGTTTTTTTCTATTCTACTATTCCATATAGCTGAATAAATTATGGGAGCGATTATACCTCATGCTTACTCATACGCTCGTGCACACACGCATTCCTGGCCCTCTCTTGCACACATACACCTGCCCGGCCACAACCATACACAATGGAGCAAAATTAGCTATGACTTGAACACAGAAGCAATGAATCGGCAATTACTATTAATAAAGGCCTGTGCTACGGGTAAATACTTCGGGTATATGACGTCGTTAGGGCTGGAAAATTAGAAACATTAAATACACAAAATGTCTTCAGTAATACGTTTCCCCCTCCTTCAAGCTCCCCAGGGATTTGGGGGGTGGTCCGTGGAGGGATATAGAAAAAAAAAATTAAAAAAAATACACAGAGTTCTTGGAATGATATTTGGGGGAGAAGAGGAGGGGAGCGGGTGACAGCGGAAGGGGTTCCCGGTTTTCTCCTTTCAAAGCTTTTACGGTGGGGGCAGCTTTTCAACAGTAACAGAGTGGGAAGGGACCTTGGAGGTCATCTAGTCCAACCCTCTGCTCACTGAGACCTGTACTAGGGATTCGAACCGCTGATCTTGAAATAGGCTATTTCTCCCCCTTGGAAAGAAGTGGGACGCGGTGGGGGGGGGAGTTTGAGGTGCACCTGTATTTTGGGACCAGAGGTTTTTTTGGGGTGTGTGTGGAGGAGATGCAACCTGAGTTCCTGGAATGATCATCGGACTTGGGTTTGTGTGGCCGTCTTTGCGTCAGTTTGTTAAGGACATGGTTTGGATCGGAGAGAAGGGATTCTTAGTAGGAAGGTTGTTCGCTGGGTAATTTTGATTTTTGTTCCTTGAACAAAGCACAGGAGCCACAGGATCGGCCCAAGGGACGGAAATCCAGCAGGATCACCGTCTGTACGGTCTCTTGCCCAAGCCAGGAAGAGGGAACTTTGACGGGCGACGACCATGGTAACTTTCCTCGCGAGCAACAGAGTTATTGTTAGATCCGAGTCGAAATTAAGGGAAGCCACACGAGTCTTTAGGAGGCGGGAGAAAAGTTGGGGCTCAGCAAGAGAAGAGGGGCTTCTCCTAAGAATGGAAAGTGGTGGGTTATTTCCAGGGGTGAAATGCTACCGGTTTGGACTGGTTCGGGAGAACTGGTAGTAATAAAAGCTACCAGTTCGGGCGAACCGCGCGCAGCAAACCGGTAGCAGCCTTTGGAGGATTTCACCACTGGTTATTTCCCACTTCTTCCAAAACAAAAACAAAAAAGCAAGAAAAATGAAGGAAGCCAATGGACGGAAGGACTTTTGATGGCTTTGCCTCAACTGCAAATGCTTCCTTGGGTTTTCTTCTTCACCCTAACAGTAACAGAGTTGGAAGGGACCTCGGAGGTCATCTAGTCCAACCCCCTGCTCACGCAGTACTAGGGATTCGAATCGCCAACCTTCCTGATCGACAAGCTCAGCGTCTTTAGCCACCGAGCCACAAGATCAAGATCAACCCCTTTGAAAGTAGCTGCGTTGACCCACTGAACTGGCCCAGTGGGGCAAAACTCGTTTTTTTTTCTTTTCAAGAGTCATAAAAACCCTGGGCTCTTTTATAGCCCATAATGGGGGGTGGAAACCGAGAAGGAGGAGTTAAGGCCATTGTACAGACACACAGAAATCACGCAAAAATCGGCTTTTAGTTCCCAGTGCCCAAATCTGATTTGAGTTATTGCCAGAAAAATCCTGCTCAAAGCCATGTCCCACCTTTTTTTCTCTTCTTCTTTTTCACTCATGATTTTTAAAAACGCATCTTTTCTTTTCAAAGCAGAAGCGGCTTAGTCTCCCCCCTCCCTGCCTTTAATAAATATCGGAGAAGCAGCGCAAACAGTAGCGTAGAAAGTAAGTTTCTCTGCCTCCGAAGCCATTGATATAACGTGTGCCTATTTCTATATGCGTCGACTCATCTTACTTGTGTAAAAAAAAAAAAAAATCCAGCATCATACTCTCTCTCTCTCTGTGTTAATATTAAAATAAAAACCAGGACAAGTTTTCTTCCTTCCAGGAGATGTGACCAAAGGGGAAAATGTCGGTAGATCGGCCACTTTCGTGTTCCGATTTTTTTTTTATAGCTACAAATTTGGTGGTTTAAATTCTTGCGCACTTTAGAGAAATGGTAAACAGGACTGGCCTGGTTTCCTTGGTTAAGTTGTCTAGTTTGGGCCACAAGTTTTTGTCATATCCTGATCAGCTAGCACCAGTGGTGGGTTGCTACCGGTTCGTCCCGGTTCGGGCGAATCGGTAGCAGCGGCAGTGGGAGGCTCCGCCCACCTTCCCGGACGTCATTAAATACACTCTGTGCACACGCCGGTAGCAAATGGCCAGTACCCACAACTGCCAAAACCTTAACTCCGGGTACATGGATACTACAGGCAGCCCTCAATTTACGACAACAAATTTGGCCCATTTGACGGCTTTTCTTGCCTCGTTTTGTCAAGCATTCGTTAAGCGAGTCACACGGCAGTTCAGTGAATCTGGCTTCCCTGTGGACTTTTGCTTGCCCGACGGTTGCAAAAGGGGATCGCCTGTGTGACCCCCGCCCTGGGGACGCTGCAACCGTCGTAAATGTGAATCACAGTTATCAAAATCTCCGCGTGCAGATCATGTGACCGAGGGGATGTCGCAACGGTCGTAAGTGTGGGGAAAAAAGGTCCCAAGTCACTTTTTTCCCCCCAGTGCCGCTGTAACTTTGGATGGTCCCAAAGTGAACTGTTGTTAAGTTGAGGACTACCTGTATTTAGGATCTGTTTTCTAGATCTATCGAGTATCTACCGTGTTTTCCTGAAAGTAAGACCCTATCTTATATTTTTTTGAAACCCGAAATAAGCGCTTGGCCTTATTTTCGGGGAGGTCTTATTATTTTGGGGCGCGTGGAGCAAGATGGGGCTCCTCTTGCCGCCTTACCTGATTTCCAGCTCTGCGTTTAAATATTTTTGGGGAGGGCTTATTTTTGGGAGGCAGCTTATTTTAGCGCATGCGCTCAAAAGCCAGATTGGGCTTATTATCAGGGGAGGTCGGGGAAACAGGGTAGAAAACATGGGAATGCAGAATGAGTCTTGGGTCAGCGGCAAGGGCCAGCTCTGGTTGGCACTTTGAGTGTTGGGAGGTGGGGGGGGGCGGGATGTGGCTGGACCAGGAGGCCATGATGCCATAGGTGAAATGGTAGACAAGTTGGCATGACTTTCCCTTCTGAACAGATCCTGCCCTCCCAGATCCCTAAAATCTTGAACAGTTTTAATTGAACCATACAGACCGGAAAGCTCTTAAATTTCACCAACGAGGAGCTAAGGCAGGGGTCTGCAACCTTAAACACTCAAAGAGACATTTGGACCAGTTTCCCACAGAAAACACCGGGAGCCACAAAACCCCTTCCGGTGCCTGATGATTTCCTGAGCGGCCACAAAACCAGCCTATGTAGTTGAATTCAATGTTCTGTTTTCTTCTGAATTTTCTTTTTCTTGGATTTATCCATGGTTGGTCTACCGGGGGTTGAAAAGCTCAATAAATTGCGTGCCAGTGGGTGTCGCACATTGGCGGTTGTGATGCATATTTTGAGTGACAGGGAGCCGCAGCAGAGGGGTGAACGAGCCACATGCGGCTCCAGAGCCGCAGGTTGCTGACCCCTGAGCTAAGGGCAGGAGAGATGCTGTGTGTGTGTGTGATGTGTGTGTGTCTGTGTGTGACACAACCTTTTTTTTAATCGCTCTCTGCCCACCTCTGATGCTAAGAGTGCAATCAAGAATTACAGTTTTGAAAGAAAGCGAGGCAAACATACTGGTTAGAAAATGGGTGGGAGAAGACGAGGGGCCGAGGAAATGTACCCCCAGGGGCCATCCCAGATGCACCTTTATAGAACCCATGGTTCCCTGCTAGGGGAGCATCTGAAGCCGGGGTTTGTTTGCCCCTCCAAGATGTCCTTTGCAATCTGGGTTAGGGGTCTCGTAGCAGGGCACCTCAAAGAGTGGGCAGGGACCCCCCTTTCGGTCACCGCTTCATTTCCGAGGAATGGGCAAACGGCTGTTGGGAGGGGAGGAGGAAGCCATTTTGGAGATGTTTGGCACACCCAGATGCCTCCATAGATGATCGGCCACCTTCTGCTGGGCTGCCAGCAACTCACGTCATGGGGACGGGGACAGGGAGGATGTGAATGCAAATCTTTCTGCCTTCTCTAATCCCCTCCCCTCCCCAATTTTCTCCTGATGGACAGGTGGGGCCTCCGAAGTGACCCAGCGGGGAAACTGGTCGCTCCCCAAAGCCAGAGGCCTCCGGGACGCAAGCATGGATTCGCGCTCTTTTGAGGAACCCAGAGGTGACCCTTGTGAAGACTACTCTGAGACGGAACCCAGAGCTTTCTCGGAATCTGCCGGATCCGCTTCCCCATCGAACCTTCCTAACCCCGAAGCGGAGGTGAACGTATTTACAAGACGTAGCAATTCTCTCTCCCTCTCGCTCTCCTTTTCTGACCAGGATCAACTTTTCTTAGCTTTGTCAGTCTTGCTTCTTGACGCTTGTATGTATTTGGTCCAAAGCATCCCCTTGTGGTCCTTGGGTCAGCCAGCTTCTTCCATGAATTATTGATCGTGTACTATAATAAAAATGATGGGGGGGGGGGAAATGTGTGCGAGTCACGGGGAGGGTAGGTGGGCCAAAGAATATATCGGTATCTACCTAGCTATTATAATGACGAAGAATAGAGCCTCCACATTTTGACTCCGCCGAGTGGTCGCCACGATTGGGAAACATCTGGGAAGCATTGGTAGGACGCCACGTCAGCTACCCAGCTCCCAGATGGGAGGAGTCCTTTACAAATTCATCGTCTCTAGAGTTGGGAACATGGTTGTTAAGTCTTCGTAGGTACACAGAACAAGGATGGGGGGGGGACAGGGCTGGGGGTCGAGGTGGGGAGATCAGTGGGCCTCTGGGACGGAGGCAAGGGTGGGAAGGTTTGGTCCTTTGAGTCTCCGAAGGAAACGCCGGCGGTGGACGACAAGAGGCCGCTGGTCCCAGAAAGTTCGGTGGTCGTAGTGGGGGGGTTCTTGATGGCAGAGGGTTGGCTGTGGGGTGGAACCCCCCCCTCCCCCAGGGAAGGAGCCTTCAGTAGGCCTGGCCTGTTTCGACAGGTAGGAGCCCCAGCACGGCTGAATGTTCCCCGAGTTTCATCCGGCGCTGTGTGGACAAGCTGACATTCTTGGTCAGGTAGTCGACAGCAGCTAGTGGGGGCAAAGGAGAGGGAGAAAATAAGTAAATAAATAAAGAGAGAGAGAGAGAGAAAGGAAAGAAAAGAAAGAAAAACAGAGAAAGAAAGAAAGAAAGAAAAAGAGAAAGAGAAAGAAAGAGACAGATGCGTGAATCTTGAAACAGGTTCATTCCCAAGTCCCCCCCCCCCCCCCCCCCCGCAATTCTCCCCCATGGTAACATTTATAATTGTCGATAGTGTGGCAACGGGAATGCCAATGTCACAACAGATGCATTCCCAGCAAAGGGTCCAGTAGTTGTAGAAAAAGCAGGATCGTCGAGAGTTCATTTAATTTTTTTTTATTAAATTCCCACACTACCCTGCATCTCACTTAAGTGAATCTGGGAGGTTTACAACAACAACAACTGATCAATCTGGCATGAACAGACGCGGTTAATATGGATTAAAATTAAAAACCTTTCCCTTTTTTGCTCTGTCAAATACTACGTGACGAAGCCTTACTCTCTGGAACGCCCAGATTTTATATTTCTGATATAAAACCAGTGTTTTGATGGGCTGAAGAAGAGAGTAAGGCTACTGATCGGGCCTCCCTGCACTTACCTGGGAGCCAAAATGGGTTGCGTGGGGATTCCTGGAAGGAAGCAATTTAACTACCAGTTTTCCCGAACCGGCTGAATCCAGTGGTGGGATTCAGCCAGTTTGCATCACTTCGTGAGAACCGGTTGTTAATTTTCTGAGCAGTTTGGCAAACTGGTTGTTGGAAGAAATAATTAGGGCACAGAACCGGCTGTTAAATTACTTGAATCCCACCACTGGCTGTATCCCACCACCGAGTAAATCGAAAAGAAAGCTTGTCTTTTTAAACCATGATAGAATTATTGAAGTTTAAACGTACGGTAAATGGGTCTTGCTAGTTATAATCTGCTAATTTGCACCGGTTTGCAAGAAGAGAACCGGTAATAACATTGGCTGGCCACACCCCCGAACCAGTCCCCGGCCTGGTCGTTGCTCGTTTACCCCGCCCACCTCATCAGAGGCTTTTTTTAAAAAAACTTTTAAAAGCATTTTTTCTACAACCTCTTCGGCCGAAAAAATGCTTTTAAAAGTTTAAAAAAAAAAAAGCCTCTGACGATCGCGCGGCTCAGCTGGGATCGTCAGAGGCTTTTAAAAGCATTTTTTCTATAACCTTTTCGGCCGATTATTAAACATAAAAGAGATTTGGTAGCTCCGCCAACATAAAAACCGCAGCATTTCATTCAGTGCCTATCTCACGATTTGAGAAAGCGCCAATCAATCCAACAGTAGGGTTCAAAATCTAAAAACAGGTAATCCTCAATGGCAGTTCATTTAGTGATCGCTCGAAGTTACCACGGCACTGAAAAAAGAGACTTATGATAGTTTTTCCACACTCGCATCATTCCTGTCTGGGTCATGTGATCAAATCCAGACGCCCGGGAGTTTCGACTCACATTTATGACGGTCGCCATAAATGACGGGGAAACTGGATTCACTTCACAACCCGGTTACTAACTCAACGACGGCAGTGATTTCACTTAATAACGGGGGCAGGGAAGGTCGTAAAACAGAGCCACGTTCACTTCACTTAAGCAGCAAAAATTTGGGCTCAATTCCGGTCGTAAATCTAGGACGACCTGTACGGATTGGCTTTCGGCTCTAGACAGCAGGCAGAAATGAATTTTAATAGTTTTGCATTTATTTGGCCTGGGCATCCAGGAATCCAAATGGTGAAACTCTTTTGTTAGCTGAGCTTCAAATTTCTTTTTTTTTTTTGCCCGTTTCTCCCCACCCCCTGCAATTCTTCAGCCTCAAATTAGATTAATAAGAATTGCGCAGAGAGCCCCACTTGGTGCCGGCAAGTAAACAAATTTCCAGCCGTCAGCATCCTGTCAGCGGCCTTTCCCCAAAGGGAGGTCCTTCCTACCAAAAATCCTTATTAGACTTGTCACATCCATTAGGATTTTTTTTCACGCCTCGGCGTTCCATAACCGCCGTCATTAGTGTAGCTTTTGGCCTGTGGGACTAGCTCAATTCTCCAGGCTGGCACTCTTCCTCGGATGAGTCAGGACCAAGGAGGTGGGCAACGGCTCGGGCACAAGGCCGGGGAAAGAGGGTGGGCATTAAAAGGTCAAGCCGCAGCCTGTCCTCGGGCCCTTTTAAGCCCCTCCCCCACCCAACTTTTAGGAAGTTGGCACAGCAGGCGGGTGGGAGGGAATGCCCTCCCTGCAGACCTTGCCATGGGCGGCCACTGAAGTGCCAAGTTAAAACGTTCTACCCACGGATGAAATGCTACTGGTTTAGGCGAATCGGTAATGATATAAATTACCAGTTCGCGCGAACCGGTAGTAAAAAAAAAGATTTAAAAAACTAAAAAAAAAAAAAAGGTTCCGACAATCGTGCGGCACAGCTGATTGTCAAAAAAAGGTTCCAACAATCAGCTGTGCTGCGCGACAATCAGAACCTTTTTAAAAACTTTTTAAAGCATTTTTTTACTACCGATTCGGGCGAACAGGTAGTAAAAAATGCTTTTAAAAAGTAAAAAAAAAAAAGTTGGCCACACCCACCCAGTCACATGATCCCACCACCACCAAGCCAAGCCCACAGTAGCCACAAATTTTACATTTCACCACTGATTCCACCCGTCTGCGGCAGCCAACCTTGGCAAAAGTGCTCACAAGCCCACATTTAGGCTGCGCTTTGCATGTAAGACGCAGAACAAATGAAGAAAAAACAAAGGTTTGGGCCAGGGGGGGGGAATTCAAAATTTTTCCCTGCCGGTTCTGTGGGCATGGCTTGGTGGGCGTGGCAGGGGAAGGATACTGCAAAATCCCCATTCCCTCCCCACTCTGGGACCAGCCAGAGGTGGTATTTGCCGGTTCTCCGAACTACTGAAAATTTTCACTACCAGTTCTCCGAACTATTCAAAATTTCCGCTACCGGTTTTCCGAACTACTCAAAATTTCCGCTACTAGTTCTCCAGAACCTGTAGGAACCTGCTGGATTTCACCCCTGGTTTGGGCTCTACACCCCAGGGGCGTAGGGAGAAAGGGGTAACACGAGCTCAGGGCTTCTCTGTGGAGATAAATGGGATTTTAAGCAGGTGATTTTAGGAAGGGAGGGGGAGAGACGCCCCTTATTTGGAGGTGAGTAATTCCTGAAGATTTGTGTAGTGGTTTTGGTTTTCACACGGCCCCAAAGGCACCCCGTTTCCTCCATCTCAGGTTGGGGAAGTTGCCGGTATCCAGGCTATCGGCACCCAAAGAGGGAGCCTGTCTAGGAAGAGGCTGTTGGGGTTCAGCTCAGGCCCCAAATGGAGGCAGAATCCCCTTCCACTCCTTCCTTCCCCTTCTACCCTCCTTTCCTTTTCTTTTTTCCCCCTCCTTTCTCTCTCCCCTTCCCTCCTCTTCCCTCTTCCCCTCCCCCTCTTCCCATTCCCCTAAAATTTTCCCTCTTTCCTTCTCCTCTCCCCTCCTCTTCCCCCTACCACTCTCCCTTCTTTCCATTCATCTAAAACTCCCTCTTCTCTTCTCCTCTTCCCCCTACCACTCTCCCTTCTTTCCATTCCTCTTAAACTCCTTCTCTTCTCCTCTCCTCTTCCCCCTTCCACTCTCCCTTCTTTCCATTCCTCTAAAACTCCTCTTCTCTCCTCTTCTCCTCTTGTCTTCTCTTCTCTTCTCTTCCCCCTTCCACTCTTCCTTCTTTCCATTCTTCTAAAGTTCCCTTTCTCTTCTCTTCTCTTCTCCTCCCCTCCTCTTCCCCCTTCCACTCTCCCTTCTTTCCATTCCTCTAAAGTTCCCTTTCTCTTCTCTTCTCCTTCCCCCCTTCCACTCTCCCTTCTTTCCATTCCTCTAAAGTTCCCTTTCTCTTCTCTTCTCTTCTCCTCCCCTCCTCTTCCCCCTTCCACTCTCCCTTCTTTCCATTCCTCTAAAGTTCTCTTTCTCTCCCCTCCTCCTCTCCCCCTTCCACTCTCCCTTCTTTGTATTCCTCTAAAATTCCCTTTCTCTTCTCCTCTTCCCTCCCCCCTTCCACTCTCCCTTCTTTCCATTCCTCTGAAGTTCCCTTTCTCTTCTTTTCTCCTCCCCTCCTCTTCCCCCTTCCACTCTCCCTTCTTTCCATTCCTCTAAAGTTCTCTTTCTCTTCTCTTCTCTCTTCCACTCTCCCTTCTTTCCATTCCTCTAAAATTCCCTTCCTCTTCTCTTCTCTCTTCTCCTCTTCCCCCTTCCACTCTCCCTTCTTTCCATTCTTCTAAAATTCTCCCTTCCTCTTCTCTTCTCTTTCCCTCTCCCCTCCCCTCTTTAGAAACCTAGGAGAGAGAGGCCCCCTTGGGCCCATGGCTGGTGAGAGGAAGGCCGAGCCGGAGAAGGTTGGGAAAGCTTCTTTGCTTCAACCTCGTCCAATGAGCCGAGGTGGGAGGAAGAAGAGAAGTCCATCCCAACCAAAGCCTGTCCTGCTTGCTGACCGGGGGCTCAGGGAGAGGAGTGGGCTGCCCGCTCAGAGCCCCCTTGCTTCTTAAGCTCCCTTAGGGTGAGTCAGGGTGTCTCAGGGGCCCAAGGAAGAGGCTGGCAGCAGGGCCTCCCAGTCCCTCCGGAGAGATTTTGGCCAAGTTTTGCCCCTCTTCGGGGCAGCTTCGGAAAGGGACGAGGCCACCCTAACCCGCCTCCCCAAATGCAGCTCCTCGTTTTTTGTGGGGCCCCTCCTGTCCTCAGTCACGCACAAACACACAACGGTCCGTTACACACACACAGGCACATCTATAGCGGGGCTGACTAACACTCACACCTCGGCCTGGAGGGCATCTCTCTCTGCCCCTGGAATTTGTTTCAGGATTTTATCACTTCCACCTGTGGCCGGGTTTCACCACCAGAAGCGAGAGGAAGGTCAGGGGGGGTCACAGGCCAAACTTATTTGGGGGAGGGGGGGTTTCCTTCCCTGAGAGAAATAGGGGTGGGGTGGGAGAAGAGGTGAGGGAGCGTTCACGGACCTCCCCCCCCCAGGCAGGCAGCCGTTTCTCATTTGGGGAAGGAAAGCGCATTAAAAAGAAAACGGAGGGTCAATTGGGGAGCTCCCCCCAGGGGACGGGAAACGGGGATGCCCCAAACATCACCGGGTAATGGACTCGGGCACTAGGACCAAAGGGACCCCGGGATGGTAAAAGGGGGATCTGAGCCACCCGTCGCTGTAGAAAGGGGCCTGAGACTCATTCCTTGGTCTGGGGGGGGGGTCCTTGGGGGGCTGCCCCCCCCAACCTTAGGGGCTCCCGACTCCTCAGTGCTTCAGAGCCCCTCAACGCAAGGCAGAGTCTCCTCTTGTGGAGAAAAGGGGCTGTCCAAACTTTTTGTTTCTCCTCGAAGAAGATGTCTCGCTTCTTCTGATCCAAGAAGCTTCTTCCGTTCTGACAGAATCCGTTCCGCCGTTCGGTCAGAAGGGAAGAAGCTCCTTAGGATGGGAAGTGAAATGTCTTCAAGGAAAAAAGAAAAAGAAATCTGGCTTGCCTTTTTGAAAAAGCAGCTTTGGGACAATCCCATGACCCGGAAGATCTCCATAGACACCGGGGGGGGGGAGGGGGGAGGGGGAAGGTCAAAGGCACCTCCCGCTCCCCAAGGTAGGCAAGGCCCGTTTTGGATGCAGGTAAGTGTAGGGTACACATAGAGGCTCGGGGAGGGCGAAAGACGGGCCTACCGGAAATTCAGGAAGGCTGGAAACAGGCCCATTTCCAGCCTCCAGAGCCTGGGAAGGCTGTTTTCGCCGTCCTGGAGGCTCGAGGAAAGCCTCTGGAGCCTGGGGAGGGCAAAAATGCCCCTTCCCGCCATGGTGCAGGAGGCTGACTAGGCCACGCCCACCATGGCCACGTCCACTCAGCAACTGGGCAGAGAACCCCTTGCTAACATTTTTGAAGCCCACCCCTGGATTTAAGGGTTGCTTGGTGGGCACAGGAGACAGCCTTGGAGGCCCCAAAAGTTCACCTGAAGACCCCAACCCCCACCCCACCATTGGCATTTCTGGGGAGGCCCATTAGGCAGGAGTACAGAACCCCCCTTCCTCCCCACCATCTCCATCTCTCTCAGAGAAGGGGGAATGAACCTGCCAGGGGTTCCTCTTTTCTCCGGGGAGGGGGGGGGAGTGGGGGCAAGAAGGAAGGATACTCACTCTGGCCGTACTGGCCGTACTGGTAGCCGGCCACGGGATCCACGCTGTAGCCCGTGGTGGTGTAGGTGGGGGGGCAGTAGGCCTGGGAGGTGGGGAGGCTGTCCACGGACTTGATGGAGTCGCTGCGCTGGCTGCAGCTGGCCGAGATGGCATTGGCGCTGTCCAGGCTGCCGTGCAGGGGGGAGATGGAGAAGTCGGCCTGGGACTGGGGGGCTACTCCGCTGGGGTTGCTCAGGATGCTCATCACCTATGGGGGGCAGGGGAAAAGAGAGAAGGGTGAGCGTGTCGGAGGGGGGGGACAACAGCCATCACGGATCCCCCAACAAGACAATCTGGGTGGACATGAAGAAAATGGCGATCGGCAGCCCTGAAGATGGTCAGCGGTCATCACCAATCGGGAGCCCCCCTCCACCACCAGCCCTCCGGCTCCATGGCAGGAAGACCTGCTCTGGGGATGGGGGATTCCCTTCCCCTTCTCCATCATTCCTCCTTCCCTATCCTCTTTGCCCCTCTTCCCTTCCCTCCCTTTCTTTCCCTTCCTCTCCTTTGAGTCTTTCATCCTACCTCCCTCGCCTTCCTCTTTACTTCATCTCCATCTTCCTCCTCTGCGCTTCCTTCCTTCTATCCATTCTCTTCCCCCACTTTCCCTTTCCTTCCTTTCTTTCATTCCCAGGGTTCTTCTCCCTTCCCTCCAGCTATCCTTCCTCCCATCTTCCCTCCCACTCACTTATCCTTTCCTTCTTACCATTCCTCCCTCCCTCCCTTCCTTTCTCCCTTATTTGTCCTTCCCTTCCCATATCCAATGCAAACTCCTTCCCCCTCCCATACAACTCCTCCTCCACTCGACTCCTTCCCCTCCCCATCTTACTCAAAACTCCCCTCCCCCTACAACACGCTGTCCACCTTCACTAACCCCTTTTCCAATTCTTTGCCTTTTCCTACTCAGTAACCCATTTCGTTATTCCCCCCAAACACCAACCAGACCCTAAACCCTTCCACTTACCTCCCTAATACATCCCCTACTCCCTAAATCCTAACCCCACCCTTTGTCTATCTCCCCATGGCCTATATCTGCCCTGCCAATCTCCCCATGACCCATCCCTACCCTGTCTATCTCCCCATAGCCTATATCTGCCCTGCCAATCTCCCCATGACCCATCCCTACCCTGTCTATCTCCCCCATAGCCTATATCTGCCCTGCCAATCTCCCCATGGCCCATCCCTACCCTGTCTATCTCCCCATAGCCTATATCTGCCCTGCCAATCTCCCCATGGCCCATCCCTACCCTTGTCTATCTCCCCATAGCCTATATCTGCCCTGCCAATCTCCCCATGACCCATCCCTACCCTGTCTATCTCCCCATAGCCTATATCTGCCCTGCCAATCTCCCCATGGCCCATCCCTACCCTTGTCTATCTCCCCATAGCCTATATCTGCCCTGCCAATCTCCCCATGGCCCATCCCTACCCTTGTCTATCTCCCCATAGCCTATATCTGCCCTGCCAATCTCCCCATGGCCCATCCCTACCCTGTCTATCTCCCCATGACCCATCTCTACCCTGTCTATCTCCCCATAGCCTATATCTGCCCTGCCAATCTCCCCATGGCCCATCCCTACCCTGTCTATCTCCCCATGACCCATCTCTACCCTGTCTATCTCCCCATGGCCCATCCCTACCCTGTCTATCTCCCCATGGCCCATCCCTACCCTGTCTATCTCCCCATGACCCATCCCTACCCTGCTTATCTCCCCATGACCCATCCCTACCCTGCCTATCTCCCCATGACCCATCCCTACCCTGCTTATCTCCCCATGACCCATCCCTACCCTGTCTATCTCCCCATGACCCATCTCTACCCTGCTTATCTCCCCATGACCCATCCCTACCCTGCCTATCTCCCCATGGCCCATCCCTACCCTGCTTATCTCCCCATGACCCATCCCTACCCTGCCTATCTCCCCATGACCCATCCCTACCCTGTCTATCCCCCCATGACCCATCCCTACCCTGTCTATCTCCCCATGACCCATCTCTACCCTGCCTATCTCCCCATGACCCATCCCTACCCTGTCTATCTCCCCATGACCCATCCCTACCCTGCCTATCTCCCCATGACCCATCTCTACCCTGTCTATCTCCCCATGACCCATCTCTACCCTGCCTATCTCCCCATGGCCCATCCCTACCCTGCCTATCTCCCCATGACCCATCTCTACCCTGCCTATCTCCCCATGACCCATCCCTACCCTGCCTATCTCCCCATGGCCCATCCCTACCCTGCCTATCTCCCCATGACCCATCCCTACCCTGCTTATCTCCCCATGACCCATCCCTACCCTGCCTATCTCCCCATGACCCATCCCTACCCTGCCTATCTCCCCATGACCCATCCCTACCCTGCCTATCTCCCCATGGCCCATCCCTACCCTGCCTATCTCCCCATGGCCCATCCCTACCCTGCCTATCTCCCCATGACCCATCCCTACCCTGCCTATCTCCCCATGGCCCATCTCTACCCTGTCTATCCCCCCATGACCCATCCCTACCCTGCCTATCTCCCCATGGCCCATCTCTACCCTGTCTATCTCCCCATGACCCATCCCTACCCTGCTTATCTCCCCATGACCCATCCCTACCCTGTCTATCTCCCCATGACCCATCCCTACCCTGCTTATCTCCCCATGACCCATCCCTACCCTGCCTATCTCCCCATGGCCCATCCCTACCCTGTCTATCTCCCCATGACCCATCCCTACCCTGTCTATCTCCCCATGACCCATCCCTACCCTGCTTATCTCCCCATGACCCATCCCTACCCTGCCTATCTCCCCATGACCCATCCCTACCCTGCCTATCTCCCCATGGCCCATCCCTACCCTGCTTATCTCCCCATGACCCATCCCTACCCTGCCTATCTCCCCATGACCCATCCCTACCCTGTCTATCTCCCCATGGCCCATCCCTACCCTGCCTATCTCCCCATGACCCATCCCTACCCTGCCTATCTCCCCATGGCCCATCCCTACCCTGTCTATCTCCCCATGACCCATCCCTACCCTGCTTATCTCCCCATGACCCATCCCTACCCTGCCTATCTCCCCATGACCCATCCCTACCCTGCCTATCTTCCCATGACCCATCCCTACCCTGCCTATCTCCCCATGACCCATCCCTACCCTGTCTATCTCCCCATGACCCATCCCTACCCTGTCTATCTCCCCATGGCCCATCCCTACCCTGCCTATCTCCCCATGACCCATCCCTACCCTGCCTATCTCCCCATGACCCATCCCTACCCTGCTTATCTCCCCATGACCCATCCCTACCCTGCCTATCTCCCCATGACCCATCCCTACCCTGCTTATCTCCCCATGGCCCATCCCTACCCTGCCTATCTCCCCATGGCCCATCCCTACCCTGCCTATCTTCCCATGACCCATCCCTACCCTGCTTATCTCCCCATGACCCATCCCTACCCTGCCTATCTTCCCATGACCCATCCCTACCCTGCTTATCTCCCCATGACCCATCCCTACCCTGCCTATCTCCCCATGGCCCATCCCTACCCTGTCTATCTCCCCATGACCCATCCCTACCCTGCCTATCTCCCCATGGCCCATCCCTACCCTGCTTATCTCCCCATGACCCATCCCTACCCTGCCTATCTCCCCATGACCCATCTCTACCCTGCCTATCTCCCCATGGCCCATCCCTACCCTGTCTATCTCCCCATGACCCATCCCTACCCTGCCTATCTCCCCATGGCCCATCCCTACCCTGCTTATCTCCCCATGACCCATCCCTACCCTGCCTATCTCCCCATGACCCATCCCTACCCTGCTTATCTCCCCATGACCCATCCCTACCCTGCCTATCTCCCCATGACCCATCTCTACCCTGCCTATCTCCCCATGGCCCATCCCTACCCTGCCTATCTCCCCATGACCCATCCCTACCCTGCCTATCTCCCCATGACCCATCCCTACCCTGTCTATCTCCCCATGGCCCATCCCTACCCTGCCTATCTCCCCATGACCCATCCCTACCCTGCCTATCTCCCCATGACCCATCCCCATGACCCATCCCTACCGTGCCTATCTCCCCATGACCCATCCCTACCCTGTCTATCTCCCCATGGCCCCTCCCTACCCTGCCTATCTCCCCATGACCCATCCCTACCCTGTCTATCTCCCCATGGCCCATCTCTACCCTGTCTATCTCCCCATGGCCCATCTCTACCCTGCCTATCTCCCCATGACCCATCCCTACCCTGCCTATCTCCCCATGACCCATCCCTACCCTGCCTATCTCCCCATGGCCCATCCCTACCCTATCTCCCCATGACCCATCTCTACCCTGCCTATCTCCCCATGGCCCATCCCTACCCTGCCTATCTCCCCATGACCCATCTCTACCCTGCCTATCTCCCCATGACCCATCCCTACCCTGCTTATCTCCCCATGACCCATCCCTACCCTGTCTATCTCCCCATGACCCATCCCTACCCTGCTTATCTCCCCATGGCCCATCCCTACCCTGCCTATCTCCCCATGACCCATCCCTACCCTGCCTATCTCCCCATGACCCATCCCTACCCTGTCTATCTCCCCATGGCCCATCCCTACCCTGCCTATCTCCCCATGACCCATCCCTACCCTGCCTATCTCCCCATGACCCATCCCTACCCTGTCTATCTCCCCATGACCCCTCCCTACCCTGCTTATCTCCCCATGGCCCATCCCTACCCCCTATCTCCCCATGACCCATCTCTACCCTGCCTATCTCCCCATGGCCCATCCCTACCCTGCCTATCTCCCCATGACCCATCTCTACCCTGCCTATCTCCCCATGACCCATCCCTACCCTGCTTATCTCCCCATGACCCATCCCTACCCTGTCTATCTCCCCATGACCCATCCCTACCCTGCCTATCTCCCCATGACCCATCTCTACCCTGCTTATCTCCCCATGACCCATCCCTACCCTGCCTATCTCCCCATGACCCATCCCTACCCTGTCTATCTCCCCATGACCCCTCCCTACCCTGCTTATCTCCCCATGGCCCATCCCTACCCTATCTCCCCATGACCCATCCCTACCCTGCCTATCTCCCCATGGCCCATCCCTACCCTGCCTATCTCCCCATGACCCATCTCTACCCTGCCTATCTCCCCATGACCCATCCCTACCCTGCTTATCTCCCCATGACCCATCCCTACCCTGTCTATCTCCCCATGACCCATCCCTACCCTGCCTATCTCCCCATGACCCATCTCTACCCTGCTTATCTCCCCATGACCCATCCCTACCCTGTCTATCTCCCCATGACCCATCTCTACCCTGCCTATCTCCCCATGACCCATCCCTACCCTGCCTATCTCCCCATGACCCATCTCTACCCTGCTTATCTCCCCATGACCCATCCCTACCCTGTCTATCTCCCCATGACCCATCCCTACCCTGCTTATCTCCCCATGACCCATCCCTACCCTGCCTATCTCCCCATGACCCATCCCTACCCTGCCTATCTCCCCATGACCCATCCCTACCCTGTCTATCTCCCCATGACCCATCCCTACCCTGCTTATCTCCCCATGACCCATCCCTACCCTGCTTATCTCCCCATGACCCATCCCTACCCTGTCTATCTCCCCATGACCCATCCCTACCCTGCCTATCTCCCCATGACCCATCCCTACCCTGTCTATCTCCCCATGACCCATCCCTACCCTGCTTATCTCCCCATGACCCATCCCTACCCTGCTTATCTCCCCATGACCCATCCCTACCCTGTCTATCTCCCCATGACCCATCCCTACCCTGCCTATCTCCCCATGACCCATCCCTACCCTGCCTATCTCCCCATGACCCATCCCTACCCTGCCTATCTCCCCATGACCCATCCCTACCCTGTCTATCTCCCCATGACCCTCCCTACCCTGCTTATCTCCCCATGGCCCATCCCTACCCTATCTCCCCATGACCCATCCCTACCCTGCCTATCTCCCCATGGCCCATCCCTACCCTGCCTATCTCCCCATGACCCATCTCTACCCTGCCTATCTCCCCATGACCCATCCCTACCCTGCTTATCTCCCCATGACCCATCCCTACCCTGTCTATCTCCCCATGACCCATCCCTACCCTGCCTATCTCCCCATGACCCATCTCTACCCTGCTTATCTCCCCATGGACCCATCCCTACCCTGTCTATCTCCCCATGACCCATCTCTACCCTGCCTATCTCCCCATGACCCATCCCTACCCTGCCTATCTCCCCATGACCCATCTCTACCCTGCTTATCTCCCCATGACCCATCCCTACCCTGTCTATCTCCCCATGACCCATCCCTACCCTGCTTATCTCCCCATGACCCATCCCTACCCTGCCTATCTCC